TTTTATGAAACAGGAAAAACGAGATCACTATTATTGCAGGTTTGCAATAATTCTACAAATATATAAAGTGATTGTAGAACTTTTATATAATACTCAATTATAAAGTAATCAATACATTAGACACATATAATATTCTTAAGTCAATAAATAAGACTAAAATAAATTAATTATTTCCGAAAGTTTCTTAAATTCCTTATAACTTATGTTTGAGAAAATACTTTATGATTAGAATTGTTTATGCATTCAAAGGCTTAGATTCAGGGGAAGAGTCACTCTTTTTTCGCGGAAGTTCTCTGGAATTCATTTGTTCGATCGCTTTCCGGATCTGAAATCATTAGTATTTTAATAATTCGTTAACAATATTAAATGATTTGTTACATAAATATTTTTATTTTATTCCCGGTTCTATCAAATAAAACAAAATATTTACTTAACTATAGTAATCATATAAAAAATTTCATTACTTTTATATTTATATAATGCTATTAATGAGAGGAAGTAATTTAAGATTTAGCGTAAATACCTCTTTAAGAGCCACAACACCGATAAGACGCCCTAAAACTGTCACAAAAGCCAATTGAAGACCCAATAAGGAGAACATATTGTGGGCCTTAAACACCAATTTAATGAAATTTAATAAAAATAAAAAAATTTTTAAATAGTAACCTTCATCAAAGAAGTTCCCTCCACTAATTGAAAGGGCGCCGGATCTATAGGACAAGCGGTAAAGTCAACTAATTTTTCCAATTGATTCTCTTCCCAAACGTGTTTCTATAGAATTGCATCATTAGTTTATATTTAGTTTATAAGTTTTAATATAATGTTAGTATTAAATGAATGTCTCACTCCAACGGATGTTATTTCCAACACTTCATTTTCAGGAATGGTCGCCACGTGAAACCTCGGCTGTTGTCCGTGTATGGGACACGTGGGCGACGGCTTAGTCATCACTGGCGGTGATTTCTTCAAGTCGTCAATCATTTGATCTTTACTTAAATGACTTTCTAAGAGATTTTGTAATTCAATTCGTTCAACAGTTCCCAATAAAATCATTGTTTCCGGCGATTTGACAAACGGGTAGATATTGAGATGCTTTTTGGAGTTCAATAAATGCCTTAAATATCTATAAGAACAGCCCTCCCAGACGTACATCAGATCTCTTTCCATGAATTCTTGAACAAATAGTCTGTGCGCTGAAGAACTGGATTGAATTATTGGTGGCAAATACGGCAACTTTTTAAGTTTAATAAGACTATCATATATGGAAGGGCCGAGTCGTTGGGCGACCAGAGTTGCAGTGATAACCGCTATGATTACTGCGCTGAAGAACTTGATTGAATTATTGGTGGCAAATACGGCAACTTTTTAAGTTTAATAAGACTATCATATATGGAAGGGCCGAGTCGTTGGGCGACCAGAGTTGCAGTGATAACCGCTATGATTACGGGTAATAAGTGTGTCATTTGTCCCGTCACCTCAAATATGATGACCGCCGACGATAGAGCACCTCAATTGGTATACATTGAATTCATTACACCTCAACAACAATCATCTCAATAACAATCACTGCTATTAATATGTATACCTGTGTTGGCGCCGGCAAAGGCCGCAGAACCGGCCACAGCGTAAGCTCCGGCAATGATCGGGAGATCTGTTCTGTCGTAATATGGATTTATTCCCTTTGGAAATATATATGCCATCCATTCCCCGTAAAATCTTTAATTAAAACAAATATCAGTTGCATTATTACCGTACTTTCAATTACGCTCTATCATAAGCCCATACCTTCCGAGTCCGGCACCGATTTTAAAGCTCGGTATTATAAGACCACTGGGAACGGGTAGTGTTGATCCAAGCGCTACAATCACTAGATTCATGACAAAAAACAAGAATGTAGTCACATATACTGAAGTGTTGGGTGTCTTCCAATTATCAATGATTTCGTCTTTATCTATCTGATCGGCAATTGTCCCCCACGTATAGTTACTAAACAATTCATGCATTGATTGTTCTGAGGAATACATTGATTTTTATTATCAAATGAGTGTCAAAAATATAAAGTCAAACGTTTAAAACCTGATGAGAGCCACGACCCGTAATACTGTCCAAAAGCTGGTGGGAATGATACGAGACATATAATGGTTGTGACCAGAACCGGGTATATAAGGGGATATCGTTGAAGAATTATATGAAAAGTGGTTCGCTTTCTATTGAAGAGCACGATATGGCGCTGAAGAGTGACAAATAGAAAGGCACTGATGCCCGCGAATATACCCAAAATGGCAAATGAGATTAATTCCAACGTCTCGTATGGATATTCTCTGCGAAAATTGGTTTTAAACAAATGAGTGATATTGTCCTCCATATGAGACCAAACAGTGAAGAGTCGCCAGAAGAGAGCACCGATAGTGGCGGCAAAGAATCCCATCCAATACGACCGGACGGAGAAGAATACAGAAACGATTTCTATGCTATACAACACTCCACCGACTTTTAAATTTGATAATTATATGAAATATTTCAATCACATTACATGTAAAATTATGATTATATAATAAAAATACTAAAATAACCTGGAGCTGCAAAAGTAGTGGCCACACCGACAGCACACGCAACAGCTATCAGCTAATTATAACACATTTAAAAATCTTAAACTTTGGTAAAGTTTGCAATAAATTTGATTACATCTAGAAATCTGGACTCGTATTCATTCTGACTTCGGATGGGAAATAGTTTAATGAGTTGATTGGTTACCATCGCTGCCATGTGAACAAACCTTACATTTGGTTATAAATGCCAAGAACTCAATTATTTGCATTAAATTAAAATAATGTACTTATACTTGTATGTACGTTAGTATTTTACAGATTGTACAAAAAATTAAATGAAGCAAATGTAGTAAAATATAAAATATAGAATATCTATTGTAAAGTGATTATAATTAAATAATTGATATGAAATAAGAGTACATACGGTCCTTCTTTGCCGAGGGGTAATCCACTACCTATTCATTGAGGATATTATAGTTTAAATGGAATTAAAATACAGATTAATAATCTTAGATTATTGTTATGAAAGTTAATAAATAAATGTATATAAAATACCCAAAACAAAAGGAAGTCCTATAACTTTGGCGATTAATGTCTTAAATGAAAGGTACTCTAGAATTGAGAAATTTTCTCTTAAATAATCTTTTTGTCCCATTAATTGTAATATAAATTCAGACCTTTTAACACAACTCCTCGTAAAATGACCTATAATTTAGAGTACAATTTAAAAACCTTACACAAATGAATGAACACATGAACAGACCTTCATCTCTCCGACACCACTTCCAGCCGCCTGTGGGGACACATATCGCACAAATATGGCTGAAGACAAGATGAGACACACACTGAATGCTATCCATAGAAGATATTTGTAGACAAACTCGTCGGATATGCTTTCTTGAAGCCAATCACGTACTGATTGGTTAAACGCATTCAAACATTAGCCTAAAAATGTCTGACCAATGAATTATACAAACCGTGGAAACAAAAATGAATGACAATATCCATAACGAAGCTGAGAAATGCAAGAATGATTGACAGTATAGCCAATAGTATCCAATCGCCGCCCAATTCGGCAATCGATATAACCTTTCGGATCAAACTTCCGGCACATCTTGAGTTCAGATGCGCTTTATTTGTACTTTCCTTTTGTCGCTCTTCTCGTAGTTTATTAGACTTTTGGGACTGAATTGACGCAAAATTAGCCAATTTTTCTCGATATTGACCAAACATTAAGGACTGTTCGTAATCTAAAACAGAGCTTCTTCTCCGTTGAGATTGCATTATAATCGTCTAATCAGTAGTAAATGCACACAAAAAACAAAATATCGTAATAATTATATGAATGAAAATACACCAAAAAATAAAATAATTAAAATTCTTGTCTGAAGTTTATATAAAAAACAATTATTTTTGACAAATGGTTTCGTTAGTCAGCAAATTGGTGACAGAAAATAAGAAAAACATTGTTTCACAACAAATATATACGAATTAATGTTCGCCTAAAACCATAATATGATTTAATGCATCAAAAAATAACAAAAATCAGCAAAAAATTTTGATTAGAAATGAATAATAATTTCTGAATTCATCGTGAATTCGCTTTTTATTTGGATTTAATGTAAAAAACAATTAATTTAATTAAAACAATAATTCGTTACAAATGACCCAAATATAAGACTTCATTGTCGGCACTGAATAGGATCTCATCGAAAGAGTTGATGTCAAACGAGTTGATGGGAGAGCCGCC